CGTCGTATTATAGTAGTGTAGTAGTAGTAGTAGTAGTAGTCGTAGTAGTAGTCGTAGTAGTAGTAGTAGTAGTAGTAGTAGTAGTAGTAGTAGTAGTTGTAGTAGTAGTAGTAGTGGCAGTAACAGTAGCAGTAGCAGTAGCAGTCGTCGTTGTCGTCGTAGTCGTTGTTGTCGTCGTAGTTTTAGTCGCAGTCGTAGTTGTAGTCGTAGACGTAGTCGTATCAAGAGGAGGAGCAGGAGGAGGAGCAGGAGGAGGAGGAGGAGGAAGAGGAGGAGGAAGAGGAGGAAGTGGAGGAGGAGGAGAAGGAGGAAGAGGAGGGTTGTGTTTCTCCCATTGGCCCTGGCCCCACCCCTCCAGGCCGCCCCTGGTTGTCGGCTCGGTCACCTGGCGTCTGCGCAGCTCCGAAGAGGCTGCCAGGCAAACTGCGGACCGCGGGGGGGTGGGCGCGCCGCCCAGTGTACAGTTCGGCCGCCGTGCGCAGCTCGGTCCCCGCGGGCTCCAGAAGGCCATCGGGTCATCGCCGCCGCCGTCGCTGCTGCCTTGGCGTCGCGGCATCTCGACGATCTCTGGGGCAGCATGTATTGAGCAGCAAACGCAACACGACATCTCCAAGGTAGGGTAAGCCCGAGACCCTCCAGATTCGCACAGGAGGACAAGAGGCAGAGGGGCAGAATGCCCAGAGGATCGACACCCCCAAAACGACGGTCCGACCTCCGAAGGGCGTGGCGGGCCCCCGTATGGCTTCCAGCGTGCGCGGTTCGCTCCTCCGTCCCCCCTGGCTTCTCTGCCAGGCGCCGGGCGCGCCGCCCGCTCTTCCCGCGGCGTGCCGTGCCTGCGCTCGCGGCGCGCTTCCGGGGGCGGGCGGACGGACGGACGAGGGGGAATTGGACGACATCGACGGAGGAGGTGGAGCAGATGTAGGGAAGTGGGAGGAGGAATCTGAGTATGAGGATGAGCGTGAGGATGCTTATGAGAATGAGTATGACCAAATCACGGAATCAACAAGCTCGACCACATGGAACCTTCCGCAAGAAACCCAACCCTGAGACTCCAGAACGTCCAGTGATTCTTGGTGCGGGAACGCCACGTTATCCACAGCAAAACCATCGAAACCCAAGAAACCTAGGGCACCCTGGAGGTCAGCAGGGTGTTTCTTGGCATGAGTTTCCATTGTATGCCTCCTAGATGGGGTCGAAGTGGATGGGGTCGGGGGATCGGACCGCGTCGCCGATGCATCGGCGATGCGGCTCGATGTGGATCCAGGCTTTCGCCGCGCCCGCGGCGCCGATGCATCGACGACGTCGCGTGTGCCTCGCCGATTCATCGGCGGTGCATCGGCGACACATCGGCGATTCGGTGCCTCCGACCCCGTCTACTCAGACCCCATCTGTCGGCGGCGAGCGAGGGGAGGAAATGAGAAGGCGAAGGCCTTCTCAGAATGTGGCGGGACTTCTCAGAAGCCCTCGCGCCTTCTGAGACGTTTCTTCTGTCTTCGGAGAAGGCTTAGAAAACTTATCGGAAGCCCGGGGGACTTCCGAACTTCCCGAAAAGGCCTCCTCCTTCTCACTTCCCCCCCTCGCTCTCCGCCGAATCCAGGAGGTCTCCTGAACGCGGAGGAGGAAGCGAGCAGGTGGAGAAAGGAGAAGGAGCTTGGAAGCGGAAGAAGAGCAGCGCTTGCTCTGCGGATGTCCCGTGGTCTTGCGGCGCGGGCAGCGTTGGCCCCTGGGCGCGGAGAGCGGCGACCAGGAGGGGAGGGCGCCGCCCCCCGTCCAGGAGGCTGCCTTCGACCTGCGCGCCCTGCCAGACATGAAGGCAGGCGATGATAGAGGATGAGGCGCAAGAGGAGGAGGAGGAGGAGGAGGAGGAGGAGGGAGGAGGAGGAGGAGGAGGGAGGAGGAGGAGGAGGAGGAGGCCTCTCTCCTCTCGTTTCGTCTGCTGATTGCAGTCGCCGTTGACGGCCTTGGAGACGAAACCGACTCTCCCGCATCTCCGTGGACGACTTGTGGACTCCGTACTTGCCCCACTCATTCGACGCCGCTGTCCTCAGAGATACGTATAGCTTGATGGCCAGGGCAGCTGCATAGAGACGTATAACACCAACAGTTGGCTGACGCTTCGAGGGCGTTTGTGAATTTCTTCGGCGAGCATCCCGCTGGCGCAGGAGGTCGGCTTCCTCCAGGACCGTGAGGGGGAAAGGGCTAGCTCAGCGGGGGGGGGGCTAGGGTGGAACATGCTCTGTTCCCCATCCCTCCGTGGTGAGGCTGGTCGAACCACATTTCGTGTCTCCGTGTCCCAGTCTCGTTCGGACGCGCGAGCGGATTGCCTCTGCCGCCACGCGACCTAACATTGTTTCGGCTTGCAGGGGGTTTCGAGAACAGTGGAGTTGATACATGTTGGTGTCCTTTCCACCTTGCCTTGGTGTGCACAATCATCCGTACTTCTACCCGAATATCTTTCTGTCTTGCTGCCCAGACCGTGGCGCGGGACGTTGCGGTGTGGATGTTCTTCCAGGAGAACGATGCGATACTTTATTGATTTCTTGATGTCGGTCGGTCTCAGTTGTTGGAGCCTGGGCTTGTGTGGATGTTGTAGGTTCAATGCCATTGATACCGAAACGCTCCTGGGCTGGGGAGAAGGTTTTTTTTGTTGCAACGGCTTATTAATATGATGTTTCATAGTGTAGGACGGATCTAACACATCTGATGTTCCGTTCATTTATGTGTCGTAGGGCATTTGGTCATTCCATGGCGCACTTGTATACAAGACAGCCTCCTGGTGGTTCAGGTCTTCTTAATTTCTCTGCCACGCCACGCGATCGTTGGTCTGACCGTAGGAGGCCCCGCTCATGATTTGCCAACTCATGGCTGACCCACCAAGTGTCATCCTTGGCCGAGGCTTGGGTCGCAGTGTACGAAATGATGTTACGTCCAGGGTGGTTGTCCCTGATCGACCGACTCCATTTTTCAACATCTGCCACTCTTGTTGTCATTGTGCCGTTTCCACTTCTTATCGTGGCCAGGTAGCAGTGAATATAATTTGTGCGACTCTTGCCTAAATCTCAAGCCTGTCGGCCAGACTAGTTTTCTTCATGTGTGCATGGTCCCTCTCGTAAGTGAGCCCTTGACCCTTGGACTCCTGGTGGTGCTCGTGTTTCTTTACCTGTCCAGCTTGTTTCGTCCGCAGAAATCTTGAACCCTGCCCCCCCCTGGGCATTGCGATAGTGCCAGAAAGAAAGGAAATTGCCCATCGTCGGAATGAGGGGTTTCCTCCCACGCGAACTTATGTCATTGCACACACATGTTGCCTGCTTCGGGGCAGGACAACTTATCTCGTTTGTCTTCCTCGGGCGTCTGGCTTCGGGCTTTCTTCGAGACGCGGGCCCCCTACCTCTCGACCATTTCCCCCGGGACCAGTTTTTCACCCCGAGCCAATGTTTCACGATCCCGAGGCCCAGTCATCATCGAGAATCAAAGACCCCTGGCCCGAATAATTCAAAGAAGACGTAGCCTAACTTAGGTTCCCGCCTTTGCACGATGGGCGATCAGTCTGGGTGGTGGCTTGGTTCGATACCTGCCAAGAACCTGTCACTTATGTTTTTTTTGCCTCTTAACTCAGGTCCGCTCCCAGATGGTTCGGGCTCCTTCGTTGCTGGTCGAGTCAGGGTTTTGACGGGCCGGCACTGATGAGCAGCCTCCGCCGCGATGGTCTCTCCAGACGCCCGCTGTCTGGGCCTTCTGGCCCAGGTGCGAGGGGGCAGGCCGCTCGTCGGGGGGCGCCCGCGCGGCCTCGCAGGGGCCGGGGCTGGGGGCCTGGTGGGGCCCGCCCAGGCCAGTAGGCGCTCACAGCTGAGTCATGAGCTTTCGATTGTTCCTTTGTGGATGACGGTCGTCGCAGACTCGCTCGGCACATTCAGAGTTCTCTTTCCCGCGGACCCCTATTCTTCTTCCCATTGCCGACGTATGTGCAAAGGATGTGTCCCCCATCGTGTGACGGACTACCTCACGCGTTCTTTCTTCCTTCCCTTTTTTTCTTTCTTCCTACTTTCTCGCGGTCCCGCAGCCTCCGTGGGGGCGGCTGGGCGCAGCGTCTTGGGGGCCCAGGGGGCTCGACGAGACGCGCGCTTAGCCGCATCCGCACCACTCGTGGTCTGGGCTCCAAGGGGCGCGGCCCTTCCAGGCCTCCCAGGTGTGGCCAGCGTCAGGACTCTGGAGCTGCCCGGGGAGCTGAGGTGGCCCAGCACGGGTTCTGGTGAGGAGGGAGGGCGGGCAGGTTCGAGGGTTCTGGGTTCGGGAGGGTTTGGGGTCTTCTTCGGCTTCCCAGGGCGGTTTTCGGGCCTGGGACCGTCAGAAACGGATCCGGGGCGAAAAAATTATGCTAACGGAGTTCCCCACATAAAGAGATTAACGGTTTCGTGGGACCCATTTTCTTGATGCCCTCCTCGCGACGCAGGAGGGGTGGGAGGGGCACGAAACCATGTAAATAGTATGGTATTCCGATACCCTCCTCGCTCAGGCGGGGCCTCCCTGGAGGGGTGGGAGGGGCACGAAACCATGTAAATAGTATGGTATTCCGATACCCTCCTCGCTCAGGCGGGGCCTCCCTGGAGGGGTGGGAGGGGCACGAAACCATGTAAATAGTATGGTATTCCGATACCCTCCTCGCTCAGGCGGGGCCTCCCTGGAGGGGTGGGAGGGGCACGAAACCATGTAAATAGTATGGTATTCCGATACCCTCCTCGCTCAGGCGGGGCCTCCCTGGAGGGGTGGGAGGGGCACGAAACCATGTAAATAGTATGGTATTCCGATACCCTCCTCGCTCAGGCGGGGCCTCCCTGGAGGGGTGGGAGGGGCACGAAACCATGTAAATAGTATGGTATTCCGATACCCTCCTCGCTCAGGCGGGGCCTCCCTGGAGGGGTGGGAGGGGCACGAAACCATGTAAATAGTATGGTATTCCGATACCCTCCTCGCTCAGGCGGGGCCTCCCTGGAGGGGTGGGAGGGGCACGAAACCATGTAAATAGTATGGTATTCCGATACCCTCCTCGCTCAGGCGGGGCCTCCCTGGAGGGGTGGGAGGGGCACGAAACCATGTAAATAGTATGGTATTCCGATACCCTCCTCGCTCAGGCGGGGCCTCCCTGGAGGGGTGGGAGGGGCACGAAACCATGTAAATAGTATGGTATTCCGATACCCTCCTCGCTCAGGCGGGGCCTCCCTGGAGGGGTGGGAGGGGCACGAAACCATGTAAATAGTATGGTATTCCGATACCCTCCTCGCTCAGGCGGGGCCTCCCTGGAGGGGTGGGAGGGGCACGAAACCATGTAAATAGTATGGTATTCCGATACCCTCCTCGCTCAGGCGGGGCCTCCCTGGAGGGGTGGGAGGGGCACGAAACCATGTAAATAGTATGTATGGTATTCCGATACCCTCCTCGCTCAGGCGGGGCCTCCCTGGAGGGGTGGGAGGGGCACGAAACCATGTAAATAGTATGGTATTCCGATACCCTCCTCGCTCAGGCGGGGCCTCCCTGGAGGGGTGGGAGGGGCACGAAACCATGTAAATAGTATGGTATTCCGATACCCTCCTCGCTCAGGCGGGGCCTCCCTGGAGGGGTGGGAGGGGCACGAAACCATGTAAATAGTATGGTATTCCGATACCCTCCTCGCTCAGGCGGGGCCTCCCTGGAGGGGTGGGAGGGGCACGAAACCATGTAAATAGTATGGTATTCCGATACCCTCCTCGCTCAGGCGGGGCCTCCCTGGAGGGGTGGGAGGGGCACGAAACCATGTAAATAGTATGGTATTCCGATACCCTCCTCGCTCAGGCGGGGCCTCCCTGGAGGGTGGGAGGGGCACGAAACAAATACCGATACCCTATAGGAGGGGTGGGATGTAAATAGTATGGTATTCCGATACCCTCCTCGCTCAGGCATGGGTACGCCATGGTATGGTATGGTACGGTATGGTACGTATGGTGTGGTATGGTACGTATGGTGTGGTATGGTATGGTATGGTATGGTATGGTATGTGTGGTAGGAACTATGGTATGGTATGGTGTGTGTGGTAGGAATAATATTGTGCTGTATGGAAGATGGAGCGGGAGGTGGGTGGGAAGGGGAGGGTGTTCTGGGAAAACAAGAACCCCACTCAGGATGTGGGGAAAAATCAGATTGATCCCGAGAGGGTTTCGAGCAGGCTTGGCCTCAACCCCCACCATGACCGATTTTCTCGGGCCCCAACCCGTTCAGACCCCCATGCGGCCTCCAACGGCCAAGTGTTTCTAGGCCTCTCGCCTGGATGGGGTCCGAGTAGATGGGGTCGGAGGATCGCGCCACATCGCCGATGCATCGGCGATGCAGCGCGATGTGGAACCCGATCTTCTCTATGCTGGCATCGCCGCTGCATCGCAAACGTCGCCAATGCATCGACGATGCACTGGCGATGTATCGGCGATGCGTCGGTGGTGCATCGGCGATGCGGCTGGATCCTGCGACCCCATCTATACGGACCCCATGTAGGAGGCCTCTTATCCCGCGGATACGCAGAAGCACGGATGCCTTGGTCGCACCGAGGTATAAGCTCAAGGTCGGTTCGGAAAAGGGCGCCCTCATGTTCTTCGTGTTTGTTGGATTTTGTTGTGCTTGCGGAGGTTCTCATGTTCTTGAACGATGTTCTTCTGTCCTAGGTCCGGCCGTGCAAAACAATTTGTGCCTGCTGCGGGTTATTGTTTTCCCATCTATCGGCGGAAAATATGCTCGCGCGGCGGGTTTTTGAGGACCAGTGATTGATGGTTCCCAAGGAAGTGTCGTAATTTTGGCGCCTGCCGCGTTTTTTCCCCCGTCCATGTTTCATCGATGTTCGAACCATGCGGACAATTATCATCGTTTGCAGCGGGCTTTGGATTTCCATTTGATTTGTACGATTCCGCCGCCTGCGGGCTTGTGAATGGTTGTCTCAAAGCCGCAAGTTTCTTAGTTGGCGCCGACAAGTTTATATTTTCCAAAATCTCATTTAGCATCGTCGTTCATATCGTTTTTTTTTTTTTTTTTGTTTTTCTCTTTCTCCTGTGGCCCTTCCGCCGACCAGTCGCCTCGTGACGTCCTCCAAATCGTAGCGCGCCGCGCTGAACCGGGACCAGCCTCTCACTCCTATCTGCATCGGCGAGGTTTGTGGGTAGGGATGGCATGTGTTCGTGATGTTTTTGTGCGGACTGCTGTCATCACTGCCAGTGTGATTACATCGTACAGCCAGATGATCGGCCCCTCATGCCACGATGACCACCGCGGCTGAAACTTCAATCTCTTCCGCCCGCACTTCGAGGTGCGGTGTATTCTCGGAGGTTGGTCGACCTCCTACCCTGACATGTCGATTAGCGAATTGGCCGTTTTCGGTTCGCGAGAGGGCGTCACGGCCGTCATTTTTGCGGGTCCAGGTCCGTTGGTTTCGGTCCTAGGTTGTCTTCTAAAGAGGGTGGTTTACTGAAGGGAGGTTTGTCCAACGCCGATATTCACATTTATATGCCAAACTCTAGTTTCTCTCCAGTTTGTCCCGCATGGGTTCTGTGTCGCAGTAGCCCGGGTGATCACTTCTTTGTTGCGTGATGCAAGGTCTCGCTCCGTGTTGTCTGAATCATCCCGTTGCAGTGGTGCAGTGCGGGTAAGAAAGGTCGTGCTTGACATTGCCAGGCTTTGTTTTTCCTGGGAATAGCCTGGTTGCTGGAGTGCTTGCCGTGCAAGTCTATCCAACGCTCTTGCAAGCCTACCCTCTTACAGCCTTTGCAAGCCTATCCAACGCTCCTCTGAAGGTCAGGGTTCTTCCCTATCCCCGCCTTCTTGCTGCTCCAATCGAGGAGACCCTCTTCTTCTACATCCACCGTTGGTTCCACACCAACAAGGCAGTATACAAGGCGGCTCAGTTGCCGCTGCCGTTGCCCAGACCGCCACAACCACTGAAACTCATCTTGCCACCTCCAGCGGTGATTTCGGATGCCTCGAAACTCTTTCCAGGGTAAAGCTCATCCGTTAAGCTCCCCCTGCGCGAGCAGCCCATGTTTTTGAGTTGCACGGCCAACTTTGATCAGATCGATCTGGTTCGATGTCGAGTCTGGCCAGCTCCATCCGAGCCGATCCCGATTGTTTTTAGGCCCATGCGACTTGGTGTGTTTTCATGTGGCGTTGCTGTGCGGCCTGGCGCGGCCGATTCGGTTTGGGGCTCCGTGCCCCCGACCCGACAGGACCAGACCGGACCGGGAAAGCCGCGCCCATAGACGGCGCATCGGCAAGCGTGCCACACGACAGCACGACGGCCATGGGAAAAGCAGGGAGCCAGCACCCCACGCGCGAGCGCGGCCCGACGCACGCCGCCGTTCGGCCCGGCCTCCCGCTGCGGTGCTGGCCGACCCGCGGCGGCCGCGGCGGCCGCGGCGCCCCTCCCGCCGAAGGAGGGGCCGCGCGGAGGAGGGGCGCTCAGCGCAGAGGCGGATGAGGCGGAGGAGGCGGAGGAGGCGGGGGAGGGGTCGGGGAGGCTCTGCGGGGGCCCCCAGGCGGGGTGGTGGCCACACCGTGCGGCGAGTCGGTGGGGATTCGGGGTCACCGCACGGTGTGGGGACTCGAGTTCCGCTCCGGGGGCGCCTCGGGCGACAGGGGCCTCCAGGATCCCAAGGCCGTGCGGTGACGGGCCGTGCGGTGAGGGGCTCTTGGGGACTCCAGAGAGACGTACGACTCGGATTCTGGGGACTCGGGCTGGCCTGGCGGGGTCATCATGAAAATGACGAGGGCCAATCTGAAGTTTGACGCGAGCTCCCGTTGCAGACATCCCACGAAAACTGGACCGCCAAAATCCAGGGCGCGCTCGTCAGAAAATGTCGGCAAACCCGAGTTCCTGCGGAACGCAAAACTGAGTCGGGAAATGTAAGACTCGAGTACGCCTGAACTCGGGTATGCCGACGTTTTTTTTGGGGGGGGTTTGTTTGACGAGCGCGTCCTGGGTCTTGACGCTCCGGTTTTCGTGGGATGTCTCTGCAGCGGGACTCGCGCCAGATCTCAGATTGGGTCTCGTCATGGTTATGATGGCCCCGTCTGGCCAGCCCGAGTCCCCCGTGCCCGAGTCTTGCGTCGTTGGGTTGGCCGACCAGCAGCGGATCCGCTCCCGCAGTCGCAGGGCGCCAGTTTTTGCTGCGGATTGGGACATGAGCTCGTTACACCACTTGGCACGAGGGGGGTGCGAGGGTGCGCACGCACTCGTGATGCTAAGGGGGATTGGGGGGAGGCGGGAGGCGGCTGATGATTGCTTTGTGGAGGGGGCCCCCCCGAGGGGGGCCGGCGGCCGGGCCGTCGGCGCCGCGGGAGAGGCCCGCGCGAGGCCTGGCTGCTGGCGCAGGCCCCAGGCTGGCGCGGGAGGACGCGCCTCCGCGGAGCGATGGAGGGAGCGGGGCCCGCGCCCGCGGCGAGGAGGTCGCCCGGCAGGAGGCCCGCGTGCGAGCCGCTGCGGAGCCACGGGGGGCCCAGCCCGGCCCAGGACGGCCTCCGAGGCTCCCCGGGGGCTGCGGCCCCTCCTTTTTCTCGTCCTTGTCCTCCTCCCCCCCTCCTCCCCCTCCTCCCCCTCCTCCTCCTGCCTCCTCCTCCTCCTCCTCCTCCTCTCTCCTCCTCCTCCTCCTCCTCCTCCTCCAACCTCCTCCTCCTATCTTCCCTCCCTCCCTCCCTCCCTCCCTCCCTCCTCCTCCTCCTCCTCCTCCTCCTGGTTCTGCTTGCCCGGGCGGACTCGGCGATCGTCCCGCATCGCCGGCGCGGCCCTCGGCGATGCTGCGCGATCTGGAGCCCGGCAGCACCCATGCTGCCGTCGCAGATGCATCCCCGATGCATCGGCGATGCAGTGGATCACCACCCACCAAACCACCCCAACCCAACCCGAAGGCTCAGATTTACCCTCCATTTCCAGTGGGGGGGGGGGTCGGGAAACATTGAAAACACACATGTGGAACCCTTACCCCCCCAACCCGAAATTCGGGTCTTCGGGTTGGGTTGGGGTGGTCTGGTAGTTAGTCAGTGGAATCCTCCGACCCCATCCGACGGTGCGGCACCCGTGCAGCCGGAGGCCACCAGGGCCTCTTGCAGGCCTGCCCCGCCCACGGCAGCTTCGCGTCGTGTCGACGCGGCGGGGACCCCAGCGCGGTCGTTCGAGGCTGAACGCCGCCAGAGGCCCGCAATGGGACGACGTCGAACGGCTTGATCGCTCGAGGCTGAACGATGGACGCGGTGCCAGAACCCAACCCTCGGTCGTCACGACACGAGCCTGCCGTAGCCCTGGAGTCTGCGCTGCGGTCCCAGTCCCATCGGGACCTGGGAGGCGATGCCGCCGATGGGCGCTTTGGGCGAGGCTTCACTCGCCTCGGCAGGCTCCTCGCTGCTCGAGGTCGCGTCCTGCACCTTGTGGGCCTCTCTTGCGCCCCGCTTCCTTTCCCTCTTGAGTGTTGAATTCCTGGTGTCCAGAAGCCAACCTCAGTGGCCCTCGGCCGTGGTCCAGCCAGGCCACGCCGCGCGGTCATGGTTGTTGTCGTCGTCGTCGTCGTGCTCCTCGCGGCTTCGCACGCACGCCTCGGGAGCCTTGAGACGGGGATGAATGCAAACGGGGGTCAGCCAGAGTGCCTGATCTTGCAGGATCCTGCGAAGCCAGGGTTGCCTTGACCCAGGTCAGCACGCAGGATTCTGCAGGATTATGTAGGATCCTGCAGAGCCAGAGGGTGCGTTCTTTTCCTCCCCAGGGTGACGCTCGTTACCCAGGCCAAGCTCCCCCCAAAGGTAACGCCAAAGATGTTACCAGGGGTGGTGGCCTGGACCCCTCCCCTACATGCTGTGGTGCACACAGGCGATTGATGCGCCGGTGGCGCGGAAGCACCCCCGCGGGTGCACGCTGCGGCCGCCGTTACCGTTGCCATCCTGCCTGACCCCCCCCCTGGGTAACAACCGTTACCAGGGCAAGTTCAAAAACAGTCGCAGACTGGCCAGGGTGTGCACTGACCCAGGTCAGTCGATCCCCGAACGCACGCTGTGGCGCTCTTGCGCGCGGCCTTCTGCGCCCGCCAGGGCGGCTTCCCTCACGTGGGCTGCCCAGGCTGCCCCTTTGGAGGCCCAGAGGCCGCGGCATTCGGGGTGCGTCGAAGATCAGAGAGGAGAAGGTACGTCGCCACCGCTGGATTCGCCTCGAAATTCTGGTCAGAACGCGCCCCAGGAGAGGTACGGGGAGGCCACGGGGGTGAGCGAGTTGTCGTCGACAACCAAACAGGCCGCCAGCGAGGTCACCTGGCCTAAGACCTATTCGAGAGGATCCATGAGGAACAGCCTAACCAGCGACGTCGCGACCGCACATCCAGCTATGATACCCTTGATGATACGGCATGAGGTGGAAGTAAAGCTGCCCAGCTGCAGTACCCTCGGCCTTGAGCAAGTCGAAACCATCCACGCCAAGCGTCCCAACCCAAAACGGTACTTGGCCCCGGCTTTCAAGAGTCCCGAGTGCGATGCGTGCTTGTTGGTCTTCTGGAGGTCTCTGCGGGCTGACGCGGAGTGAGGGACAGGATGTCAGATGAGGCGTCAGCGCACCGAGCTTGTCCACCGCTTCCTCCTCCTCCTCCTCCTCCTCCTCCTCCTCCTCCTCCTCCTCCTCCTCCTCCTCCTCCTCCTCCCCCTCCGCCTCTCTCCTCCTCCTCCTCCTGCTCTTGCTCCTCCTCCTCCTCCTCCTCCTCCTCCTTCTGGTGCTTCCCGAATGGAGATGTGCCCGGTCGACAGCCGCAGCTTGCTTCCGGACCGCCTGCTCACTGCTCTTCTTGTGGACCCCTCGCTTCCAACTTGCGACACGAGGCCAGGACCCGAACACACGCTCACCGCACTCCAACGTGTCGCTTCCCCCCAGCGGGCCTGCTGAGGAAACCGATCATAGCCGTGGCGCTCCTTCTTCTCCTCCTCGCAATGTTCTTCCTTTTCCTCCACCTCGTGCTCGCACTCCTCCTCCTCCTCCTCCTCCTCCTCCTCCTCCTCCTCCTCCGCCTCTTCCTCCTCCTCCTCCTCCTCCTCCTCCTCCTCCTCCTCCCTCCTCCTCCCCACGTGCACCCGAGATAGCGTGCGCCCCCGTGCCCGTCCTCCGCGCGCCGCTGCCGCGCGCGAGTGGCGAGGGGCGCGACCGCGCGCAGGCGATCCACAAGCTCCACCACACCTGGACTGCGCCCGTGGCCTTCGTGGCCATCTACGCCCACCCGGTCGCCGCGCGGCGCCGCCGCCGGCCTGCCCTCGCGGTTGGGGGAAGCGGGTCCTGAGGGAAACGGGTCCTGGAGGAGGAGGAGGAGGGAGGAGGAGGAGGAGGAGGAGGAGGGAGGAGGAGGAGGAGGAGGAGGAGGAGGAGAAGGAGGAGGAGGAGGAGGAGGAGGAGGAGGAGGAGGAGCAGGAAGACGAGGAGCAGGAGCAGGAGCAGGAGCGGGCTTTCGGGCTTTTGGGGCCCTCCACGGGACCCCAGGACTGTCAGAAGACGGCTCAGGACGGAAAGCCCGTCTTGGGGGGGAGGCACCAGTGGAGAAATCCGCTCCACAGCGTTCCGGAGCGCTCTCGGAGCGTTCTGGCATGGAGAAGGCCGCGCGCCCGAGACATCCTCCAGAGCCGCTGGATCTCAGAGATTTTCGATTTATCCTCACCCGAGTTTGTCCTCGTCTTGGCTTCGTCTTAACCAGGGTTCAGCGGGACCCGTTTCCCCCATGCCGACTGCACCCCCGTGCCCTCCTCCCCGCCGGTTCACCCTCGCCTCCCTGCAGCCGCCTTTCTCTTCGTTGCCCTTCCCCTCTCCTCTCCGGCCCTCTCCCTGCTCCCTCTCCCTGTCTCCGTGCTCTCCGACCTTGCTTCTCCTCCCCTCTCGTCGTCGTCGTCGTCGTCGTCGCCGTCGTCGTCGTCGTCGTCGTCGTCGTCGTCGTCGTCGTCGTCGTCGTCGTCGTCGTCGTCGTCACCTTTCTTCTTCTTCCCGCTCAGGTGGGGCCTCCGAGGTGGGACCAGAGCAGACGGGGTCGGAGGATCGCACCGTATCGGCGGCGCGCAGGGTTGACGATACAGTGCGAGGATCGCACCGCATCGCTGGTGCGCAGGGTTGGCGATACAGTGCGAGCTGGAGTCCGTTCTTCAGCATCGTCTAACCGTATCCCCATCCCCACCGAGCCACCGTATTTTAGTCCAGCCCGCCCTCCTAGGTCGGGATAGCCCCCGCGAAACCCGAAGGCGAGCAGGAAGGAACATGCGCAGGAGCCGAGGCGGAATACACGTGTTGTAGCCGTGCGGGCCGAGAGGGCCCTCGTCATACCCGTTTCGTTTCTTCTCCAGGCGTTGCTCGCATTCAGGGGTTCCTATTTCTGTGCTAGAGAACTGGGCCTGCTGGGTGGTCTGGCGGCTATGTCGCCGTCGCCGCCCCGTCGCCGCCTGGTCGCCGCCCGTCGTCTGGGCTGGTTGGGCGGTCTGGCCATGTCGCCGTCGCCGCTTCGCTGCGGCCCGTCGTCTGGGCCGGTGGGGCGGTCGCCGGCCATGTCGTCGCCGTCGTCGCCCCGCTTGCCGCCTCGTCGCCGCCCGTGGCCGCCGCTGGATTGCACCACAATGATTACACGAAAAAGAACATCGCGCATGCGGCACACGTTTTGATCGCTCACAGCATCGATTGAGCCACCTGTATCGTACACGATAGTTTGCAGCACATCGACTGCACGATTTCCCCTGCGCCTGTGTCGCCTTCCGATCGACCTCGACGGCAATTCATAGCTTGCACCACATAGCTCACACCACATAGATGAGCATGTCAGCTCCGACCACATAGGTTGCACCACGCAGCTTACACCACGTAGCTCGCTCCGCATACGTACAACATATATTACACCACAACGACTTCACCACGTCTATTGCTTCACACGTATGGCGCAATACATACTGTACAAGCTATATTGCATCACATAGGTTGCACCACATAGATTGCACAACGTAGGTTGCACCACATACATTCTGTTTTTTTGGAAAGAGTAATAGATTCTACCCCCCTCTCGAGGCCGGGGTTAACGGTCCACCCTCGTGATGTGTGATTTGCATATGACTCTGGCCTTTCGTTCATATTTACATATGAATTCAAACCATCCAAGACCAGCTGGTAGCACCCCCCCCCCGCCATCCTCTGCAAAGATTGCTATGCGCGCGCTCTTGTGTATCAGAACTCATCAGTTTTCAAGAGTCCCTTGCATTCCTTGTGACGAGGCTTCGTCGCGCGCGCATGCCGAAATCCTTCAAAAACTTGTTTGCAATATGAACAGTCAGAAATAGCTTGCGTCCGCGCACTTGCGAATTCTTAAGAAAACAATATGTTTTTCAACATTTTCATACTTGCTTCCAAATTGGCCTTTCTTGCGCGCGCGTGTCGAAATTGTTCGAATCCCTTGAACAAAAACAGGACGAAGTGCACGCGCGCGCGCGCGTCGTTGTACGCGCATGCCGAAGTCCTTGGAAAATTCTCGGTTTCGTAAGGATTTCAAAATCGAGTGCACCGGAAACACATAAACGTACACGGCCTTGCAACATCAGTTTTCGACAAATTCTGCGCTCGCGCCCTTGCGGACGGTTTCATCAAATTCTGCCAGACGGGCCTCTCGCGCTGCATGTCGAGCTCATTCGACCGCCCTTGCGCGCGAGTGCCTGGGGGGCACGGTCCGCACCCCACTGTGCCGCGCGGGCCGCTCGCTCGCGCGTCAGCCGCGCGCGCACGCCGAGCTCCTTCCAAAAGCTTCCTCGCCGACGCGAGGACATCGTCAGCATTATCGGCCGGCGTGATCAGCATCGGCGCCGTCATTGGCCTGGCCGTCGTCATCGCCACCCTCGACACCATCGCTGCTGTCATAAGCGTGTCTGCCGTTGTCGGCGTCGCCATGATGCCGCGTCCGCCCAAGTCTCCGACTCGCACTGAAGTGTCCGCTGGGAGGTGCCCGGCGGTCAGCGCCACCGTGGCCGCGCCAGTCGCGCCAATCTAGCTGGCCGCTGTGTGCGCGAGCATACGCGGTCTAGCGCGGCCGCAGAGGTGCACCAGCCAACGCCAAGCACTCATCTCAATCGCCGCCGCATGGGTTTTGTAAACCAAGTTGCGGGTGGGTGGGTGGGATATTTGCAAGGGCGTGGAATTTGCCACCCCGTTTGTAAAAATCAGTAGCACCACGTAGACTGCATCACATATATTGCTTCGCATCTTTTACACAACATAGGGTGCACCACGTAGTAACACTACACATGTTACACGACATATATGCGCAGCATATATTGCACACCATACATGGCACACGATCGGTAGCACAACGCATACTGTACACCACATATAGCACAGCATCGCTTGCACCACGTATATTGCACCACATAGCTTGTCACCTATCCATTGGACAGCATAGAGTGCTATACGTACATCGTTTTGGGTCCATGCTGGCTAACATGCTGACCAGGTTTTGTTGGATAGTGCTTCACTTCATTTCTCCTCCTGCGTCGTTCGCCGAGAGCAGTTGTGTGTGTGTATCTTGTTCACATCGAAACATAAGATATGTATGCTCTCATTAGGCAGTGACATGGCACCTGTAGTGACTCATTGCCACCACCTCCCCGTTCCTTTTGTTGGGGTGCTACATGTTGGATGGAGTACATATTCGGTGTGAGTCGCACGCCGACGGGTCGGTCGTATGACATAATGATCACCACGGTGTCGATGCTATTTGAATCACTTGTCCGTTTTGCCCATGTTTGGTTATCGTATCCTCTTTCTCCCCTACCGCCCCAGCCACAACCAGACAGCTCATGTCCCCCTCCCGTGCAGCCTCAGTGTGCTCGCGCGACGCCCCTTCCTCTCCGCGTGACGTGTGCTGTGTTCACATCTCTTCTGAAGAGGGGAGTGCTGAGGACGGGGAGCAGGCTCACCGAGCGCGCTTGACTATTCGCAAAGAGTCTCATCGCAAACGTCCCACAAACACGTTCACCTCGATGTAATGGATCGTGCATCACCCGCGGCAGATCCATGCCATCTGCGAGTAGTTACGGTCAAGTCGCATGGTAAGGATGAACAATTTTCCAAGGCCATCATGGCATCCCTGCCCTTTAGGCCCATCCTCGGCGGCTTTCGCTGGCCGCGCCCCGTTCGAAAATGCTACGTGGCCCTCCAAGGCCCTTGCACCCTTACCGCGCATCCTTCTTATGCGACTTGACCGTGCGTGCATGCGCTGCTGGCTGGCCGCCTGCCAGGCTTGTCGTCGTCGTCGTCGTTGCCGTCGTCGGCGTCGTCGGCGTCGTCGTCGGCGCCGTCGTCCTCGTCGTCGCCGTCGTCGTCGTCGCCGCCGTCGTCGTCGCCGTTGTCGTCGCCGTCGTCGTCGCCGTCGTCGTCGTCGTCGCCGTCGTCGTCGTCGTCGTCGTCGTCGTCGTCGTCGTCGTCGTCGTCGTCGTCGTCGTCGTCGTGAGCGGTGGCGTCGACGTCGGCAGCACGACGCTCCCGGGGGAGCGCGGCGCCAGGTGGAACACCTGGCCGCCAACATCCTCCCGCTGCTCGCGGGGCCGGCGCGCCCCGCTCCCTCGGCCCGGCCGGCGGCGCGCGTAGGCGTCGGGCGGTGCGCGCGTGCAGATTGGCCGCCGTGCGACACAGTCGAAACGCCGAGGTATGGGCCACTTTCCCTCCTCCTTCCCCTGTCTTCTCCTCCTCCTCCTCCTCCTTCTCCCCTCTTCTCCTCCTCCTCCTCCTCCTTCCCCCCCTTCCACCCCCTCCTCCTCCTCCTCCTCCTTCCTCCTCCTCCACCTCTCCTCCTCCTCCTCCTCCCTCTCCTCTCACCTCCTCCCCTCCTCCTTCCTCCTCCCCTCCTCCTCCTCCTCCTCCTCCTCCTCCTCCTCCTCCTCATCATCATCATCAGCATCCTTCTTCCCCCCCCCTTCTCCTCCTCCTCCTCCTCCTCCTCCTCCTCCCTTTCCGACGTTGCGCGGACTTGATGCAACAACATGCAGCGTGAATGCGAGAAACATGCAGAATGCCGACTTGGGCACGGAGCAAACGAATCAAGCCTGGCGGGCGCAGCTGGACAAGGTACGGGGCCCTAAAGGCCATAGACTACAGTGGGGGCCCATGCCAAGCGCGACGCTCCGACACCAAAAGTCAGTGGACGCCCTGGGGTCTCAGGGTTGGGTTTCTTGTGGAAGGTTTCTTGTGGACGTGTCTCCACTGTATGCGCCCGCCAGGCCGCATGGTGGAGGGGTTCGTAGTGGTCTGGTGTCGCAGTCCGTTGTCTGGGCTCGTAGGTGGGTGTCTCCTGTTTGCTTCTGAGAAGTGATGGAAGATCGTCGTTGCCGTCGCACTCGTAGTGTTAAGTCGGGCTTGTCCCTCTACAGGAGGACAACAACATAGTCCGGGGACGATTTCCTGATTGTGTTTGACTATGTTTGAATATTTGTGGACTATTTTTAATTTTTCCTTCAAAAGCTGCCTGTAGGAGGACATGCCCGACCTGATGTTCAAGTATGGTCTTCCGCTCACGTCTGAATTGGTCGTCGCTGTTCTCGGAGTATATCATGCATGTTTTATTGCAGGTGCTGAGGCGAAACTTGATGAGTTCGACCACTCATCAGTGTGTGCTGCAAACACGTCATCATGTATACCAGTACGGGGAACACGGATGTCTTTTTGCATGACAGTGAGCACGGTATGACGGGCACAGATCAATGGTGCCAGGTAGGTCATTACTTGAGCCGATTTTGCCGCGGCATCCTGAAGTCAAGTCCTGTTGAGAACAGCTGCTGTGTGTGCAGAATGCTAATAATGACCTGGATGACGATGTCCTCCTCCTCCTCCTCCTCCTCTTCCTCCCCCTCCTCCTCCTCCTCCTCCTCCTCCTCCTCCTCCTCTCCTCCTCCTCCTCCTCCTCCTCCCTCCTCCTCCTCCTCCTCCCCCTCCTCCTCCTCCTCCTCCTCCTCCTCCTCCTCCTCCTCCTCCTCCTCCTCCTCCTCCTCTCCTCCTCCTCCCCCTCCCCCCTCCTCCTCCTCCTCCTCCTCCTCCTCCTCCTCCTCCTCCTCCTCCTCCTCCTCCTCTCCCTCCCCCTCCTCGTGTCCGTGCCCCTGCCCCGCTCTGCGTGCCCATCCCGGCACACCCCTCTCGCTCGCTTCGTGGCCCCGCATGCTGGCGCTCGCACGGCGCGCCCGCACCCGACACGGCGCCCTCCCTCGCCACGTCTCGTGGCCCCACGGGGAGCCCCCAGCTAAGGTTACGTCGGGCGTGTCCCCCTACAGGGGGACTTTCGACGAAAAATAAAGAATACTCCAAAAATACCCTCCAAAGGTCCAAAACAACGCAACAAAAATAGTCCCTGGACTATTTTTTGATTTTTTGTTGGGTATCTTTTTTGTTTCGTCGAACATTCCCCTGTAGGGGGACAGGACCGACATCCGCTGCGGCACGCCCATCGCACGCGCCGTGGCCCCTCAGGGAGCCCAGAGCAAGGCCCACGTGCCAGCGCGGAGTGCCCGCGCCCGACCCAGCACACCCGTCACACGTGTCGAGGCCCCAGAGGAACCTCCACCGAAGGCCCCAGTGGCTGCGTTGTCATGGCGTGTCCGCCCCCGATTCGGCACACCCCTCCACGTGCCGTGGCGCAGGGAGCTCCGCCGAAGGCCCCAGTGGCTGCGTTCGCACGATTCGGCGGACCCCTCGCACGCTTCGTGGCCCCCGAGGGAGCTCCTCCGAAGGACCCCCCTGGCTGCGCTCGCACGGCGTACCCGCAACCGATTCGGCACACCCCTCACACACTTCGTGGACTCATAGGGGGCTCCAGCGAAGACCCCAGTGGTTGTGTTCGCATGGCGCACCCGCACCGGATTCGGCACAACCCCTCACACGTTTCGTGGTTCCACAGGGAACTCCACAGGAGGCCCCAGTGGCTGCGTTCGCATAGCGCACCCGCATATCATTCGGCACACCTTTCACGCTTCGTGGCCCTATAAGGGGGCTCCACCGAAGGCCCCAGCGTCAGCGTCCGCATGGCGTACCCAGACCCGATTCGGCGCACCACTCACACATTTCGTGGACCCGTATGGAGCTCCACAGGAGGCCCCAGTGGCTTCGTTCGCATGGCGTGCCCGCATCATATTCGGCACACCTTTCACGTTTCGTGACCTTCTAAAAGGCGGCTCCACCGAAAGCCCCAGCGGCAGCGTCCGCATTTCGTACCCGCACCCGATTCGGCACACCTCATCACACGTTTGGTGGCCCCGTATGGAGCTCCGCCAGAGGCCTCGGTGGCTGCGCCTGCATGGCGTACTCGCCCCCGATTCGGCACCCCTCACACGCTCCATGGACCCAGAGGGAACTCCACCGAGGGCCGCAGTTGCTGCGCTCGCGCAGCGTGCTCGCCGCGTGGCCTCGTCGGGAGATCCACCGAAGGTCCCCTCGGCTGCGCCCGCCTGCCCCCGAAAACGGCACGCCCGGCACGCGCCTCGCGGGCCCAGGCGGAGCTCCACCGGAGGCCGCGCGCTGGCTGCTTTCGCACGGCGGCACCGCGCCCGATGCGGCAGATCCCTCACGCGTTCCGTGGTCCCATTTCGTCCCACCTGCCCTGCGGCACTCGCATCCGCCTATGGTCGGGTCCCTCGCCAGGATCCTGCTTGCCAAGGATGGCGGCCCTGGACACACCAGGCAATCTGCGGGCACCCCCGCCGTCCCAGTCAAAAGGCGATGCGGCGTGCTCGCGGCCCGCCCCAGCCTGCCAGCACGACCCAAGAGTTTGCCCCCTGAATGCACAATTCACATGGTTTTTTGGCAGGGGTGGTGGGGGGGTTGCATAGGTCCTGGTTGGCTGCTGGTCGCCTGGGGGACGGGGGGCTTATCAGTGGGGAGCAGCGATCGAGCTAACCACAAGCCGCAAGTCGCCTCGCTCACTCCCACCCGCCTTCGCCACACATAAGTAGCACCCGCGTCTCAGCATGGAGACTGGCCGCCATCTGCAACCACCAGGAGTCAGTGCAAACGCCAGCCAGCTTCGCGACGCCCACGAGGTGCGCCGCGCGCGCCAGGACCCCACCTATCATCCTTGTCAGATACAGTGCAACTTGATGGCATGGTGCCCGCGCATGTTCCAATATTTTGTCGCAGCGTGCGCTTCGCATTGGTTTTTGAGATGGATGGGGCCATTTCCTACAGGATTGCCTCCAAGACCCCCAGAATGCCCCCCAGAGGCCCCAAAGAGGCCCCTAAGAGGCCCCTGAGACGCCCTTAAGAGGCACCCGAGACGCCCCAGAGAGGCCCAAGAGACTCCCAGGAGGCCTCCCAGAGGTCCCCCTACAGACCACCAGAGGCCTCCCAAACGGACCTCAAAGGCTCCCGAGAGGCCCTCAAGATGCCGTAGAGAAACTTCAAGATGCGTCGTCAGCCAACTCTCATAAACGCTGCGCTGCCGCCCTGGCACGGTGTCGGAATTTGCCGGCTGGATATATCCCGAACTCACCTCTGATCGAAATGGAACTGCAGACTGTCAGGGCGTCCGAGCATGATCGCATAGGACCCGTGAGAAAAGAGCACTACCATATCCTCCGAGCATGGCAACATGCTTGTATTACGGACTCGGCCATGGACCCCTTGTTGACTCATTGGCGTTGGCCCATCTTCGGCGGCCTTATGACAATATTTGGCTTCTTGCGGTTCTGTGACGGTCTTCGGCGGTTTTTGGTGGTTCTCGGCGGTTTCTGGCGGTCTTCGGCGCCAAAGCTGGATCGCTGCTCTCAATCAGGGGTCTCTGATCGAACACTGAACCTGAATAATTTCAGGGCATTGCCCCTCCCCCTCCTCCTTCTCCTCCTCCTCCTCCTCCTCCTCCTCCTCCTCCTCCTCCTCCCATCCTTGCCTCTGCCCTTCGCATGCCAACCTCTTCGGTACACCTCTCACACCTTTCGTGACCCCACGGGGAGCTCCACCGAAGGCTCCAACGGCAGCTTCCGCATGGCGTACCCGCACCAGATTCGGCACACCCCTCACACGTTTCGTGGACCCATGCGGCAGCGTCCGCATGGCGCATCCGCACCCCAGTCGGCACACTCCTCACACGCCTCGTGGCCCCGGAGGGAGCTCCACCAGAGGCTCCCTCGGCAGCGTCCACGTGACGCACCCGCACCCGATCCACACGTTCCGTGGCCTCACAGGGAGCTTCACCAGAGGCCCCGGCGGCCGAAGGTCTTCACTTGCACGCGATACCTGCAGCCGCATCTGGTTCGGTCCTGCGCCAGGGTTTTTGGTTCAAGGGGGATGGCGGGGATGCCAGTGTTGCCACTGGTTCGTCGCCGGTTGGGGGGTGTCTACTGGTAAGGAGCAGGCGAAGATCCCTCCCCGAAGGAAGCGCCCTAGACTACTCACGCCCTGGAGGTCTGGTGGGATGAATTAATAAGACGCAGATGTAAACCCCTCCCCGTAGGAAATGTGGGCTCGTCGCCGAAGATCTTTATCGCGGCTCCAGGCAGCCCGATCGTCTGCAGTGGCCCATCGTTGCGCGCCCAAGGAGTCACATCGGTGGACGACGGCGCCGCGCTGCGCACAGGAGGGCTACCGTCAATCCGCACAGTCAGGACGGGCAACCTTCCCAATGGTGCCCTTGTATCCTTGCCCCTTCGGCTCAGCCTTAGCGGCTTTCACTGGCCAGCCTCGTTCGAACAACGTTAACATGGCCTCCAAGGCCCTAGCATCCTTACCGCGCATCCTCATGATACGGGTTGACTGTACCCTCATCGAAGTGAAGTGGTTTTCAGTATGAGCACCCCGACGCCTTGACTCAAAGCTGGTTGCCCTCGTCGAGAGCGACCTCGGTCGTAGAGGCCGTCGGTAGGGGATCGACTTGTATCGGTCTGCTCTATTCTGACCCGTACCATCTTTGTGGCATGACAATGGGGACGAAGCGTCCGCCTTGCCATACACATCCGCGTCGCATCGTATGGCTAGTTTTCGAGTAACCAATCTGCGGCGAGTTCTCCACCACAGCAACCATATAATGGAATCGTGGGCCAGCAATCCTCCTCCGCGAGATCCCGAATATGGACATTGGGCCGGGAGGGAGGGAGGGAGGGAGGGAGGGAGGGAGGGAGGGAGGGAGGAGGAGGAGGAGGAGGAGGAGGAGGAGGAGGATCCCTCAGCAACTGGTCGGCTCTTTGGGGCCTCGCCCTCCCCCATGGTTGTTGCTCTCGGACTCTCGAGATAGAATGGCATGGCGTGCTTGTGCGAATTCAGCTTCCGAAGGATGCAGCGAAATGACGCCATGGCGCTCGCCCCCTCCATCCCCGCGGTCAGGGTCGTCCTGATGTGGTCTCTCTCTCTCTCTCTTTCTCCCACTCCTTCTCCCTCTCTCTCTCTCTCCTTCTCTGGCTCCCCTTCTCGCTCCCTCCTCTCGCCGGCGCCCGCCCTCAAGGGGCACGGGCGCGGGACCACCCGCAGCGCTGCATCCTGTCCTGTCCTGTCCTGTCCTGTCCTCTCGCCGGCGCCCTGGTGCCTTCCACCCAGACTGCCGTCCCGACTCGGCGGCGCTGCCTGACCGGCTGCGCCTCGCCGAGCCCCCCTGGGTGCGTGCCGTGTGCGGCGGGGGGGCGGTGCCGCCGCGCCCGGGCCCGCGCCTCGCCACGGCGCCGCTCGGAGGCTCTCCCCCGCCTCCCTGGCTGCGCCACGCCCCCGTCGCCCGCATCTGCGCCGGCTGCATCGTCCTGAGCCCTGGCCCGCCCCTCCCCAAAGAAGCTGGTGCCGCTTCTCGAGCCCCGCGGGGGGCTCGATAGGCGGCCTCGACGCGGGCAGGGGCGCGACGGAACCGACGAGGGTTCCCCGAGGAGGCAGCACGAGCCCCGGCCCGCGGCTCCCCCCGGGTCGCGCTGGCGCCTCGCTCGGGGTCGCGGTGCCGCCCTGCTGCCGCGCGCCCCGTCGTGCGCCGTGGGGCCGTCTTCCCGCCCCGTCCCCCGCTGCCGTGCCGCGCCCCGGCCACGGGGGCTCGGTGCGCCCGCCATTTGTCCGTGGGGCGCCGGCGCGGTGGACCCCCGCGCGCCTTCGGGCCGTCTCTCTCGTTCCTTCGCTCCCTCTGTCTGTTTCCCCTCGCTCTCTCCATATATGATCCCTGGCTCTGGGCCCACGGCCCCCCCCCCAGAAACGGACTTGCCCCAGGGCTCCACGGCCCCCCCCCCCTGATGGGATGAGGGGGGGGACGACGACGACGACGACGGCGACGACGGCGGCGACGGCGACGACGACGACGGCGACGACGGCGACGACTACAACGACGACGGCGGCGGTGGCGGCGCCGACTTTCGGAGCCCTCCGACGGCGGCGACGGCGGCGGCGGCGGCGGCGGCGGCGCCGACCTTCGGAGCCCTCCGACGACGGCGGCGGCGGCGGCGGCGACGATGCTGATTTCCGGAGCTCTCCTGGATCACCACAGTGCCACGCAACACACACCACACCGTCACCCACAGTACCACACCACACCCACAGGGGGGGGACCATTGCGGGGGGGGGGGGGCGATGGCATCAGCATGAGGGGGGGGCCCAGACCCTGGAACACATATCCCTCTCTCTGTCTCGCTCCCCATCGCAGATGCTCTGTGGCACGCACGTGGCCGTCATCGGGGCGTTCCTTGTCGCGGGCCTGATCCACACGACCGCGGTGCACTCGGGCTACTGGCGCGCTGCCCGACTGTCTTCTGCTTTGAGATGCAGAGTGACTGAGCGGTGGGTCGAGTGGTGAAGGAGGCGGCGGAGGACAAGACCAGGGTGGAGGATGATGCAGACGAGGAGGAGGAGGCGGAGGAGGAGGAAGAGGAGGAGGTGGAGCGGGAGCACCGCGGGTCGCCGAATGTCCAGAGGCGCCGACGTCGGCCGAACTGATCGGGCTGAGGGCCGCGGCGCAGCCCGGGCGGCCCCCGCGCATTCCCCTCATGTGCCCGTGCCCAGGACGGGTAATCCAGCGCAGCAGTTCCTCGCAATCGGCCTGCGCCAGTAAACATACGTGGATACTTGGTACTACGTGTCATACTGCGAAGGCCTCATGGCCGGTGCCGCCGACCCTGCATGGCGGCGACAACCACGACCACACCCTGCTCGACGACGACAACGACAACGAGCACGACGATAACGACGAGTCAAACGGAACAGCCTCTTCCACACGCCGACAGGGTCGGCGGATTTCACCGACCGCCCAGTCACCGCACCGCGCGAGAGTTTCTCGCGAGGAGCTCCTCGCGCCCTTGCAGGGCCCACGCCCGAGTCGGGGTGGGCAGCCTTCAGGGCCGCCCGCCAGCCCTGCACGTCCGCGGCCGCGGGGCCCCACAAGCATACGGACAGCATGCGCACAAAAGAGACACAACCAGGATGCATTGACAGCTCGCGTAAAGTACGGACTATTGTTCATAATCGTTATAATCGTCACAATCAGATGTGCAGGCATGTGCACATGGGCGCAATCTACAGAATACGCACTCATTCCATGAACTCGCTGAACACATCGAGAGCCAATGCAAGTAAGGCACATCCAGCAGTGTGAGGCCCATATGCCAGCCATGTAACATTGACGCTTTCATACTTTCGTGAGCACATGCGAAAGCGACAAACATTACATACATAGCTGCTTTGGCTCAAGCTTCCGCTGAATCCAGTGAGTCGCTGTGCCACTTACTCGCCCAACAGTGTGGGAAGGCCCGCCAAACTGACAGTGAGTTGCTTTGCGCAAAGATGACCGGCTTCACCATGGTCCGCTCTCAGTCAATGATGGTCAGTGACGAGGCGTTGGGGTCTATTGGCGAAGCGCTCGACAGCCGGCATTTCCGCGCCGCGCTCGCGGAAAGGCTTAACGTATTGGATGCGGTAAGCATCGACAGCAGAGAGAAGCTCGGTGTGCACGTGAGCGGTTTTACCTTGGCGATTTGCGCTGGAATGGTCAACGCTGTGGCATTCGCGAAGTTCGCATACTACGTCAGCCACGTCTCTGGCTCTTCCACGGCGATCGGGCTCCGTCAATTTGAGCTGCAAGACGGGGATGTGGACACCCCAGCGTTGCTCGTCCTTGACTTCATTGTCGGATCGATATTGTGCGGCTTGCTCATTCCCAAGGCAACTCTCAAAGTCGGCACTGCGCCCTACTCGACCGCCCTCATGATGCTTGCGTTCATCATGGCCATGCCGATCTTCCTGACTGGTTACGGCAAGCTTGGCGCGCACCTTCTGGCCCTCGGTTGCGGCCTCCAGAACGGACTCTGCTCGTCTTGGAGCGGCAACGTCATCCGCACGACCCACATGACGGGGACGGGCACCGACCTCGGCCTGTCCGCGGGCCGAATCGTCTCGAGATTTGTAAAGAAGCGCCTGTCCTTCAGCAATTATTCGCCTGAAGACTTGGAGGAGCACACCGCGGACAGAAACAAGGTGGTTCTCATGACTCTCCTGCTTGTCGGGTTCATCGGAGGCGCACTTGTGGGGACTATCTCGTACAATGCACTCGAGCTCTTCACGCTTCTCATGCCTTCGGTCCTCTACTGCGGCCTCGCAATCGCTCATGGCATCTTCGTCCACTCTCAGAAGGAGACGATCAAGGAGTCGGCGGCCTTGGAGGCGCAGTTTGAGCGGCAGCTGAGCGGCGCCAGCGAGGGCTTCCAGCGGATGAAGAGCGGAGACAGCAAGCAGTCCAAGCTCCTTGGCATCCAGGAGGAGGAGGCCCCGACCCTGGCCGCGGCGTAGTGAACTCAGTTTGGATCGGTCTGAGAGGGTGTGGAGGGACTGGGGACCAAGACCGACAGCAGCCCTGCTCACTGTGAGCAGGACTCGCTGTCGGGGTTGCCAGTGGTGTCTGTCCACTCGAGACCCAAAGTCGCCTGCCGAAGAGCGGCCGCTGCTGGTCTGCGACAGCATCTGCTGCTGGGCGTCGCACCCGTTTTTTTCCTTGCCCAGTTCGGGCATGCCCATCCGTGGGCACGCCTCTTCGCCGCCGCCTGCCGCCTTCCTCTCCCGCGCTCCCCTGTCGGGCCTCTGGCCGGGGGCGTGGGGTGGATTCTCCCGGGCGGTCGCGGCGCAGCAAGGGGCTTTCCGGGCAGGCCAGGTGTCCTGGTGGGATGGACGGTAGGGGCGGGAGAGGATCTTCGGGAGCGTCGAAGAGCAAGGGCTCCCACGAGGGCGCGAAGTTATTCGCGCTTCGCGGTCCTCGGTCCTTCTCCCCCTCCTCCACGTCCTCCTTTCCTCCCGTTAGGGGGGCGGCGCGAGAGCGCGAAGTCATTCGCGCTTCGCGCTTCGCGCTTCGCGCTTCGCGGAGCGCGAAGCGCGAAGTTGGGAGTCCTTGAAGAGAGGGGTGAGGAATCGGTGTGTGTGTGTGTGTGTGTGTGTGTGTGGGCGTGGGTATCGTTGCGGAGGCTATGACATCTGCCGGATTGCATGGCCGCTTCTGCTTTCCATGCGTCCCCGGCCCCCCCGCCCCCTCGGCTGCGCACATGTCTCGGGCCACCCTGCGCCGAGCCCCACTTCGGCGCACCCGAGGTCCGAGGAGGGGGCGGAGGTGGTGGGTGCCGGGGACTTTCAGGTTCCCTTGCGGTGGAGGCCCGTGCCAAGAAACGCCATGCTTGCCTTCAGGGTGCCCTGGGTTTCTTTGGTTTCGATGGTTTTGAGATGGAATGCATGGAGAGCGTGACGTTCCCACACCAAGGATTAATGGACGTCCTGGGGTCTCAGGGTTGGGTTTCTTGTGGACTGGCCTCCACTGTATGCCCCTTCCCGCCCGCGAGGGTCAGATGGACTTCGGCCCAGCAATTTTCCTCGGGGCCTCGCACGCCTTCCGTCCCGACCGTGCGGGCGGGAGCCTTTTCAAGCTGCCTCTGCCGCAGCGGATGTCGAGGGGGGTGATCGGCGGCGAGCGGGGGGGGGAGTGAGAAGGAGGAGGCCCTCTTAGAAGGCGGTGGGGGACTTCTCAGAAGCGCCCGCGCCGTCTGAGAGGTTTCTGTTGTGTCGTCAGGGGTGGCTCAGAACACTTCTCAGAAGGCCTGGGGACTTCCGGGCCTTCTGAGCTGAGAAGGCCTTCTCCTTCTCACTTCCCCCCCCGCGCTCGCCGCCGAGAAGAGTCGAGGGAGGGGAGCGCTGTCGAGCGGAGTGCCACGGCCAGGCGGCCGTCAACGACTGCTCTCTCTCCCTCTCGGACGGAGGGTGCAGTCCTCAGCTTCCCAGGTGTGGCGCTCGTTCGGCGAGCCTGTCGGGCTGTTGCGTGGGAGGAGGAGAAATGGGGGCGATGAGGAAGTGGAGGTGTCGCGCATTCTTGGCATGAGGAGCCCCACGGATGGGCGCGTGGCAAGTCTGGAGCCGAGCTGCTCTTAAGTACCCCGCTGGCATCGGTTGGTGCTGGCAGTGGCATTGGCAAGACGACCAGACCTGATCAGTTGCATAATTGTGTGAGTAGCTACCTTCTCGCCCGCTAGTCGGGGTGCCTTCGGTGTACCATTCGCTAGCACGAGGGCATCGATGTGAGCATATATATCGTGTTTCAGATCGGCACAGCCGTTCGGCTTTGCTTACTGTGCTCCTCTTTGCACGTGCCCTGGTATACTGCTGCTTGGTTTATTCTGGCGGCGAGTTCAGCGCATGGCTTGCATGTAGGTGCAATGCGGTATAGTGCCTTGTTCTGCTCGATCTCCAATTACTGATCGTGATCCTCTTCCTCTTTCTCTTTTCGCCTCCTCTCCGATTGGGCACGCCGTTCTCCATTGTTGGATGCACCATTTCTCCGCCCCTGTGTTATGCACAGTGGAATCGTTCGTGGGTCTGCTTATCCATAGCAAAATGGTACATGTATACTCAACATCCGCACATGTGATATTAACAGGCGCGAAAGACATACGTGCACATAATACATACTGAGTGCGCGCACGGAACACTAGACTACGTGTCAGTATCATACGCCGTTAAAGCCATGCGCATGTTGTCGACAGATAGAGCATCAATTCAGAAATGCGTACCACTCTTCACACACTGTATTTGATCATTGCACACGGCAGTCAACCATACATTTTTTGTGAATGCGCGTCCTCGTTTGTACACGCAACACATCTACACCACGTCCGTACAAGCACGCCATACATGCACAGCACACGGACGCGTAATCCGTAATGGCATACGCGCATATCGTATACGGTGATGAAAGCACATCACACAGACACAGCACGAACGCTATTACCACATAGGACGGTAGCTGTCCGCAGTGAACAGAACAATCGAGTCAGCACATGCACGTAACATGCACACTTGGTTTGCAGCATGCATTAACAGCATACGTACATGCCCACATACAACATACGCGATTATCGTACATGGGAAGCACACGCAGCAAACACACACACACATTTCCATTATCGACGCACGTAAAGCTGGCACCGTAACAGAAGGGACAGATTTCGAGCACATTCACAGCATTGTCCCGGTTGGGATCGCTCGCAAGGATGTCTTATCGTTGGTGCGATGATCAATTCGGGCGTCAGCGCCCCCCGCTCCGTGTCGGGCTGAGGCCCGCCTCGCGCCACTGTTCGGTCAGTGAACTCTGATCGACTTCCTCCCAGACGGGGTCCGAGTAGACGGGGTCGGAGGATCGCGCCGCATCGCCGATGCATCGGCGATGCAGCTCGAC